AAGAATGAATGGGTGAAAACACTAAATACTGAAAAAAATCATATTACATTTAGGTGCTGAGATTTCTGCGTAATTTTCTAATATTTTTTCTGCTTTTTTTCCCCTAATGCTAAAAAAATAAATTACATGCACTTAATGTAGGGTGGTCTCTGAGTTTTACACAGCACTATAAGCCAGTTATGATAGCGATGGACTATGTGGGCCCACATTCAGGCCTTTAGGATTTGTTAATGGTGCGAAAAGTATATAAACAAAGTAGAATTAAATGTACGATTTTCCATTAAGGCCTTACTTGGCCTGAGTTTCTGAATTTGGAGGCCAGCGCTCCAGCTACGGCCTTGTCCACGTCCGCACTGTCAAAGACGATGAAGGGGGCGTGTCCCCCTAGCTCCATCGAGACCTTCTTGACTGTTCCTGCAGCATGTTTCAGTAGTACCTGCGTTGAATATGAAATATGCTTGCATTAAAGAAATATTCGACTTCATAAAGCGTTACTGCCATTTTTAAACGCAATATAAGATGCACCAGCTCTCGAGCTGTGCAGATGAATGTTTGAATACCTTTCCGGTGACAGTAGAGCCAGTGAATGAGACTTTGGCCACTAGAGGGTCAGTGCAGAGGACCTCACCCACAACAGGAGCCTTCTCTCTGGAGCAGGGCACCACGTTAAAAACTCCAGGAGGAATTCCTGCCTGCACTGCCAGCTGTGGAGGTATAGCATTTGTCATTTTAGCTTTTTACAGCATGCTCAAATCACATAAACTATCCAGGCTTGGGTTAATGCTGGTGCTGGCCGATCTCACAAAGCATGTTTGACTTAGGGTTCCTCACTAAATTTCAGTTTCACAAAAACTAACTGGAACCGCAGTTAAGTTTATATGTATAACAACTTTCTCTGTTAATCTAGGTTTAGACACTGAAGCCATGACTAATCCTCCTGCATGTGCACATGAAAGCATGTTATTATGACAAAGAGCCAAGAAATCATACTATGTACATATGTAAAAATATGTCACATTACAACCTGTCATAACCAGGACTGAATGTGCAATAATCGATTCATCATGTCTAATATAACAGTAATGCATAGACTGTTATTTTTACTGATTAGCATAATTCAGTGTACAAGTACACAGATATATACATAGAACTGCTGTGTTACATTATGCTGTACTGGTATACAGTCATATGCAAAAGTTTGAACACCCACAGTCAAATGACATTTTATTTGTTTTCTAAGCATTTATTAGTTAGAAAAAGGAACGCTGTTGCCATTGCTACCACATTAGTGCTTAATGGAGTAATAATTGTATCATATTCTTAATATCTATTTAGTATGTTTTGCTTTCTGTGCTAAAAAAGCGACTTTTTTATGTGATCTACAAATGTCATGTAGATTAAAAATGCTCGGAGAAGTCCACCACTGTCAGTCCCTGATTGGTCAAAAGCTTGGCCCTGATTGGTCTAAGAGCTGTCTGTGATCTTTAATCCCAAACCTAACCTGCTCCGGAACAGGAACGGCCTGAGTTGGGTGATGGGGGTATGTGACATGCGCCCACCCCCCGGGCCCCAATGGAGGTAGCGAGAGCCTGCCGGAAGGCGGGGCCAGAACATCGAGTGGCGACGAACCCTTGCGAGGACGGCAGGGAGGGAGCCGCGATTGGGTGGGGGACGGAGCGCAAAGCCCGAGCTCCAAGGGACGCAAGTGACGGCGCGAGGAGGAGGACGGCGGTGCCGGCAAGGAGAGGCACGAGGTCAAGGAGCGAGTCCTGAGCTCTGTCGCCCGGGCCCCGCCCCCTGTTCCGCAGCGAGGCCGCTTCAGTACACCTCACGTTCCATTGAGCTGCAAGATGGGGGCGGTGACGAGGAGGCGGAGCAGCGAGCTCTCGTTCCCTCTCGGCTCGGGGGCTCCGATACTGATCTGGCTGGCAGCGTGAGCGCCTTTTGAAAAAGAGCTGAGAGGGAACAGAGCGAGAGGGAGGGACACGCAGCAGCAACAGAGACTAAGTGAAGAGCTGAAAAGCTGAAGTGATAAAGGACTGAAAAGTCTAGCTGTCTGAATCCACTGAAAAGTGGCCAGCTTAGCGTAGCATTGGTTGTGTTGTGTTTGCTTTGTGTTTATTTGGGTGAAATAAAATATGGCTGCTGCAACCCTGAACCCTGCCTCCAGCGTCCTCCTTGAGCCCGGGGTAGCACATGCCATGCTACAGAGACATTCCCCTACCTTAAGATTACAAACAAAGCTGACAAAGCAAAAAAAGCAAAAACAAAACAAAAACAAACCAAAAAAAACTTGATAGAACTGACCTCAGCAAGCGCTAGAGCAGAGAGAGGTGTGTCCTCGGCTGGCTTCACCACCACAGTGCAGCCTACTGCCAGAGCCGCGCCCACCTTCCTGGTTATCATGGCACTGGGAAAGTTCCACTGTGAGTCAACAAGGGGTTATCAGATATTTGGACATCAAGGAATGGAAAGACACAGCAAATAAGTCATAATGTCTATTAAGCCAATTAGGCTGTAGGAGGAGCTACTCACTGGGGTGATAACAGAGGCCACACCCACTGGCTGTTTAATCAGTAGTATCTTGCGGTCCTTGGCTGCTGGAGCAACAATGTCCCCATAGACACGACGGGCTTCCTCAGCGAACCACTCCAGAAAGGATGCTGAGTATGCAATCTCACCCACAGACTCCTTCATCGGCTTCCCCTACAAGAGCACAACATAAAAGGACTACACTTACTTTAAATAGCACAGCTCAGTGCTCAGCACACAGTACAAATACAGGACCCCCCTAATTAACCACTGGGATTCCCTGAAAGCCTCAAAATCAAATTCTGGGGCTCCCTAAAAATAAACATTAAAAACGTTATAGTGTTCAGGTGACCATTAGGTCTACTAGGAAACACAACGGTGAAAAATTCTAATTCAAAACACAATAAGAACTTAAAATGAACTCATTTCAACCTCATATTTGGCAGCTATATCAGACTGGTGTTCGGGCTGTGGTAGATTCACAAGCTACAGCGGCAGGACGCAGTGAGTCAAATTCGAGCACACGCATACAGCTTTTCCATCACTGCTTAACCTCCTCTGTCCCGAGACTGGACACTTTAAAAACAAACAATGCTGTATATCAAAAAATTTTTTTTTTTTTTTTTTTTACTGGGAAGCATATAAGTGTCCAGTAGTGGACATGGGCTCAGGTAATATCTGAGTTTTTGAATAATGAACATTTTTGTTATCACCAGCACACAAAGACAGCACTGACCTTTTTACTGTATGCCCAGCATGACATTTCTGAACTACCTGGACATCTGCATGAATGGCTCCTTAAATATGAAATAATCTTAATTCATAATAATAAACAAAGAGCTTTTTAACAGAAAGTATTTACTATGATTTACTTTACCATATCTATAATGATCCAATGGTTTAAACAGTCAAAACTGTGTTTTTTTTTTACTAGGTTCCCAGCAAAGGAGCTGAAAACTTCACGTGTTCATGAGTTTCCAAAAGTGGAGTTCAAGGTGGGTTCTCACAGAAAAAACAGCGCTGTCTGAAGGATAAACAATGCTACACTGTGCAGGTTCATTTTTCATTCAGGTACAAACAATGTAAATATACCCTCAAAAGGTACAACAGTTGGGTACCTTAAATACGTTTTTCCAGGTTCAAAGTACTTATTTGTACCTTTTCATAACCTAATGTTTTAAAACAGAACAATCAAATAAAAAGCCCGGAGAAGAGACAGAGTGTGTGGTGTTAATACATCTTAGAAAATATAATTTCAATGGATTATGGTACAATGATGTTCCCTGACTGAAGGTACTGAGATGTACCCTAGAGGCTACTGTTACTGTCTCCTCCCCTGTCTGGTGCCTCTCTCTTTAATAGTTTGGTTCAGGTGTCAATCGACCTTAGAGGCTCGCCATCTACCATGTCATCAAGCACAGGTCCGACACTGGAGTAAGGAACCTGAGCTTTAAAAGCAACCCGGCAAAGTTAAGTGAGGAGGCCCAGGTTCCCCCGTGCTCATAGCTGTGTAGTGTGCTACTGGTCTGTGTTGTTTAATAAGACAAGGCAAATCAAGTTTATTTATATAGCATCTTTCATACACTGCTGTCATTTAAAGTGCCTTAGAAATGAGAAAATACAGTCAAATAGACGTTTCCAGACGCAGACGCATAAGCTTTGTACTCTGTTATTCATGTAGCTTTTGTATATGGCCGAGTCTAGTATCTGCGCTAGATTTGTGACGCCAGTTTGGCAATTTGTCTTAACCATGACAGCTCTGTGCTGAAGCTAGAGGCTTTATGCCTCTAGTTAAATCATACTAGCTTTGTTGCCTTGCTGCTTTGCATCTCTCTAGTTCTATTTCCCTCTCATACTCTGCAGTGCTTTCTTGGGGTTCTGGACAGGCTAGATGGGCACACTCATATATTTTACACCATATAGTAGCCCAATGTATAGACATATTAGGTAAGGGGTGGGCGCCATGCTTTGTATTTATATTTTTGGAATAGGTAAGATCAGTGTAGATAGCTCTTTTGTTTTGCTCTTAGGCGAGAACCTAAACCAAAAAGCTAGGGTAGGTTTTTTTTCTTTTGTTTGTTTTCATGATTTCTTTCCTTTAGTGTCGTCCAGGTCCAGAACTTGTTTATGTTTCAGCTGTGCGTATACCATCAGTTGCTTGGCATAATTGGTTATCAACCTCAATCAAGTAGTTTAGATTAGATTTCCTAATCTGAGATAAAATGTTGTAAGATAATTCCTACCAAAAGAAAAGATTTGCTTCTGTAATATAAATTTGTAAAGATATCTTATGGTGATTAACTTATGAGCAAAGATAGGAAGTTTCTGTAATACAGCTGGATTTTTGGGTAAAAAAAAAAAAAAGTGTGTAATGTTACCTTTTCTATATCAGTGCTTCCCAACTGCAGTTCGCAGGCCCCACTGCCCTGCACAGTTCCCCTCCTCCAAACACACCTGATCCAACTCAGTAGCTCATTATCAAGCCTGTTGTGAGTTGGATTAGGTGTGCAGACGCAGAGAAAACTTGACACTGTGCTGGTCAGTTGGTTCACTATATATTGCATTAAAATTCTGTGGTGTAACTCAACTGGTCTTATTTGCTAAATATTAACAGCTGGAACTGGGTATGGAGGACACATGAGCAGATTACTAGATTTCTAATGATAGAAAGTGAATGCTTATCTACTCCAACGTGAATGAAGAAGACTCACACTCTCTGCTGTAATGAGCTTGGCTAGATCCTCCTTGTGCTGATTGACCAGATCAAACCATTTCCGGAGTAGAGTGCTCCGTTCCTGAAAAGTGCGTGAAAGCAGAGATCAGATACAGTCTTACAACTTTTGTCTGAAAAGAAAGCACAGAGATGAACAAAGTATGAAAAGCAGTTCATTTCATCCAGGGACAGGGAGCAGTGGGCTAGCAGAACACAGCTGCTGGCTGAACGTAGAGCAGAGTCAATATTCATCCGTTAATACATTTAGTATGTGTATTGTTTATGGTAGATATTCCTTTTATAACATTTCCCACACTTACACCATAAACAGCTTCTCAGACACACCTTATCCAATGGCCTGTTAAAGTAAGGGTTCACTGAAAAATCTAATTTACACAGTTGTCCCAGTACGCCAAAAGTAGTCGGTCAGACAAGACATGTTTAGTGTGTGAAGTTTGCTTCTTTAGTTTTGCACAGGAGCTTAGTTTTTTTTTAGTTTTGCAAGGGTAGCTAACAAGTAACAGAAGCCAATGTTACCCAAAATCTCCTATTACATTAGCCTTGTAGCTCCAGGACAAAACTAAAGAAGCAAGCTTCAGAGCCCAAACATGTCTTGGCTGGTCATCTACATTTGGTGTAAATGGAAAAACTGTAAATGTGATTTTTCTGTGTATCTTCTCTTTCATTTTCACATTAGCAGGGAAAGCATTAAAGTTTGCAATGAAATTTTACAGTCTTAACATAAACTGCTAATTTTGTACGGAGTCATCTTTTTTAGTAACGTGGCTTGTGCCGACTTTTAATATTTAGCATGATGACTGCTGACAACGTTATCCTTAGTAGCCCATGTAGACAATTCGTTTTAAAGGGGAGTTCAACCAATTTTTCAAAAGTTCAGCATAATGCAATCATCGATGTAAACAAAGTCACTCAGGGTGGTTTGATGTGAAATGGTGTACTGTGTACAGTGGAAACAAGAGAAAAAAAAAAAAAAACAAACACACAAAAATGTTCCAGCATCAGGCAGCATATTTGTAACCATTTCATGTAATAACTTTCTGTAGGGGAGCTTTTAAAGGCACTAAACTCTTCAGAAGTCTGGTTCCTATCACCACCACTGTGAACAACTCTGACTCATGTTTCTCTACAGCTGATCATTTCAAATCAAACCACTCTGAGTGACTTTGTTTACATTTCAAATATTTAATTAGAAAGAAATGTTTTTTTTTTTTTTTTAAGTAGTTGGAATTCCCCTTTAAGGACTTCGCTGTATTCAGGTAGACCACATACTGCCACAGAAAAGACCCAACCCTGCTAGAAAAACCAGCACAGGTCAGCATGGCTGGTCACCAGCAAAGCCAGCATATGTTGTGTTTTGGATACTTGTATGCTGGTCACCCAGCATGACCATGATGGGTGACCAGCATAACCAGCTGAAGAACAGCACAATCCAGCTTGGAATGCTGTTTGTTTTCAGCAGAAGAGGCTCAGGATATCACTGTGTACTTCATTATAACAGACATGCACACACCTCCCTCCTTCCTTCCCTCCCTCTTTCACTCTCTCACTCCTTCACTCACCTTTGCAGTCTGACACTTCCACGAGTGAAAGGCTTTGTAGGCGGAGCTGACGGCCTCCTGGGCTTGCTGTGGTCCGCAGTCAGAGACCTGGGCCAGCTGTTCTCCTGTAGCTGGATCCAGCACTGGGAAAGTGGAAGGCGCCGACACCCAGCGGCCGTTGATGAAGCCCTGAGTGCGGAGCAGATCTCCGGAGAGATCGAGGCTGTAGTTGCGGCGCAGCATGCTGGACAGGCCCGGCAGGATCCGGACCTGGCCAAGAAAAACACGCCTGCCTGTCAGACAGAAACTGACCATTGCAAGACACGTCGGAATCAGACAGCTTAAACGCTACAGGCCACCGACCGGCAACCGGGACCTCGCATTAGGCAACAGAACGCGCTGCAGGCCGCTGACAAAGTCCAGCCACGGAAAAACACCTCAAACTGAAAGCAGCGTTCACCACCTGCGTCATGACGACACAGCCTGGCGTGCGTAATGGCTGAATCTCAAACCGCTCCCTATTCACTACCTAGTGCACTACGTAGGTCTTTAAATAATGGCTCCAGCACTCGAACAGTGCATGATATGTCTAACAGAGTCACTCGGGACTCAGCTACGAGTGCACAGTTCATCTGCTGGACATACAGCGCTCTATTTATTGCAGAACTCACATAGTGCACTATATAGGGAGTAGGGAGCCATTTGAGATTCAGGCCTTATTCCTGCCAACCCTAACAGGAAACACCTAAATATTGAAGCAAGGCTCCTCATTTGCCCTAAAATGTGCCTGTTTACTGCTGTTTTCTCAGTATATTCTAAGACCTTTTGTGCTAGTGTTTTAAATTGTCAGCTCAGTCCCAGTTTACACTAATTCCACAGATACATGATGAAAGCTGACTCATCATCAGTGCCACATACAGCCGAAATATTGTCTCAAAAGTAGCATTTACAGGAGAATTCCACCAAATTTTCTAAATCTCTATAATAGATCATTGCAAGTCATTCAGAGTGGTTTGATTCGAAATAGCTCATTGTAGACAAACTCAGATTTCCTTACAGTGATGGTGACAGGAACTAGGGGTCGTGATGTCTGCAACACAAATAAAGTCACTTTATTTATTATCCAAAATGATCAGCGAACCTACACGCCTTTAATTTTTATATATAATGGTAAACAAACATCTTTGGGGACTATTTTGCCTACCAATAACCTACATGTACCACCTCTGCCTTCAATGGATTCATCACCCTTTTGTGAGGAAGCTTTTAAAGCAGGTGTCCAGCGCAGTTTGGTGATTTCCTGTTCTAATATACCTACTGACCCTAACTGCTTTGTTAAATCAGGTGTTTAAGGACGGACATTACCAAACTGCGCAGAAATTCAGCCCTCCAGGTTTGGCGTTCCCCACGAGGCATTAAACAGTTGGGACGTCTGGTTCCCATCACCACCACTGTGAACAATTCTGATTCAGGGAGTTTCTCTAGAATGAAGCACCTCAGACCAAACCACTGTGAATTACTGTTTACATCTAAACAATTTAACTAGAAACTTTGCAAAGTCAGTGGAATTCACCTTTATGCTAGAACAGACCATATTAAGTAATATGTGGAACATATAAAATGTTAAAATCAAAAATATGTATATTTGTATATAACATAATACAAACATTCTTACAGTGCCAGTTTCCCAGACATGGATTACAGTTAATTTTGTACTAAATGTCAGTCTCACTGGAGATTCAACACAAGAAATTCCTTTTAGTCTAGACTTAAATCTGGGTTTGGAAACCCAGCCCATATGATTTATAATAATTGCACTGGACCAAAGCAAAACCAAGCCACAGAACTGGAGATGAAGACTATTAACTACAAAATAGTGGCCTAACACCTTCCTCAAACTAAAGAAATACACGTCCAATATCCAAAACAGCCTTTTTCAACTTCTGGTCAGCATATAAAGATGGAGAACTTGTGTAAAGGAGGAAACAGACCATGACCAGCCATACCCCACTGTGACCAAGCACGGACACAGTTTACTAAGCAAGGATCTCCATCGGACAGGAAACTTCGGGAGGAGAAGCCACCAGAGGTAAAATCTGAATTCAGTGTTGTCAGAGTTGGATAAGCCACACGTTACACACTTATGTCTGAAGCTCTTTCCTGTGGTGCTGCTCCGATAGATCACTCTTATACTTTATGGTCAGCTATATTATCCTTACATACTATTTACGTTCTAATTAATGGTAACAGAGAAAAGAAGATTTAAGGGTAATAAAAATTTATTTTTCTGGTTCAGTTACATGATTTATTTTTTTTTTTTTAACACAGTGCATATCCTGACTGAGCTAGGAAACATCTTTAAGTGTCTGCTATTGGTGTAAACTCTACATACCTTTTCTTTACAATAATGTAACTGAGAAAGTGGATGCAATCCAAAAACTCAAACTCATAATGTTTAGCAAACAGAAGGTTATTTCACTGAATGCTTTGAAAAAAACTGGCCAACCAGTGAAAGTAAAAAATAATAATCATCTACAAAATGTACATGGTATTATTTCATTTGAGAATTCTAAGTCAAATTACCTTACATGGCAGTTATAGCAAGAAGTCAGATCAAGATTTATAAAAGCAGTCTGCAGAGCAAGAGACCCAATATCCATGAAATGTATTCAAAATATGCTAAGAAAATGGCAGAGAAAAAAAATAATAAAAAATACATAAAGCACATACATCTGTATGTGTGCTCACGCAGTCAAACACATACAAAATAAAGTGGGACCACATGGTTTAAACAAGAAACCCAATAAATAACTTGAAAAACGAACTGGCAATCAACACCATTTGAGAACATTACTGAGTGTTAGAACACCTGTACACTGATAACCACAAATCTAGCAACTAAACAATGTAAATCAAGCATTTAAAATAAGCTTTGTCGTCATGTCGACAATACATTTAAACAATTAAGGACGTTTTCTGGGGGGAGAGTGTACATGTAAAACTATGTACTATATACATGCACACATATTAGTACATGTACGAACACAAAACTATACATGTATCCCAGATGCAAAACTACAAAAAAGAATGCAGTCATTTGAGACTTTTGTATCAAAATAAAAGAGACATAATGAAAAACTGCTTTCATGAAAAAAGGAAACGGATGCACTCCTCTGTGTTTCTGCACTGTGTTCTTCATAAAAACTGAAGTCTCCCTCCCGTCCTTTAGGATATTAACTGCAGAAAAAGAGAAATGTCAACTATGTGAGAGACATGATCACAAAAATCAGAAGACTGCATTCCTGAAATAAGATTAGTTCCATCTTTCACTGCTGTGAGCTCTCTGGAGTGTGCTACAGGAAATGGCTGTCACGATACACGACAATATTTATTTATTTATTTAACGGGGGTTGCTAAACAGTACATGCTGTGAATCGAATACAGTTACATTTTATGCTATAAAATTACGCTATGCTAAAATTAGCATTTTGCCTGAACAGCCAAAACACACACACTGTTTACAGTCATTTTTCTTTGCTTTAAAGAACTCAGTTTACACACTGTGTCTAATACAGGCCCTTGCTTTTCGGTTTAACTCTCATGCTTACTACACAATGTATTTTTGCTCATTACAAGTCTTTACATTTGTAACCATTTTTAATTTTGCAAGCTTGCTTTAATATTTTCTTTTCTTCTTAGTTTTTGTTCCTATTCTTTAACTTTTGTAGTTTGCATTAGATTCACAACCAGCTATTAAAAGCAGCTAAAAACCAAAAGGGAATAAGAAATTTTTCCACAGAATGTGATCAAAAACACAATGAAAATCTATTGTAACTGTTCCATAGTAAAAACCCAAGCAGCTAACATATTTACTGGATGTTAATTGGATAAACATTACATTATACACTTTGTTGACACTGCATCAGAAAACTCAAAAAAACATTCATTTATTTTGTTAATCAGTTACCAACTGGAGTTACAGTTTCTTTGATTATGTGGAAAAAACCTGATAGTTTTCATTATCTCTGTAAATTTTTTTAATCTCTGTTCAGAACTGCCACCCAATTCGCCACACTACTGTTATAAGTAGTAACAAACTATTTTATTGGTTAAACAAAGGATAGGGGAATGGCATAATCTTTTCAAGGCATTTTGAAAAAGGTGAAATACTAAAACATCCGACTTAGTCCAAACTTCAGGTGTCCATAAAGTACTTACGCTCTTCACTGTCTCTTTGATAAAATCTTTTCTGTCTGTCAGGTCATAGTCAGGATACAAATCATAAACCTAAAAGGAAGAATAAAGTAATATAATGCATCACATACATACTGAAACACCACATTTCCATTATTTCCAAAATATACAAATTAAGAACTTACTTTTTGGCAAATCTGCTTCATTGTCACTTCCTCCAGGTTTGCATCTTTCAGGAGATCTTTAATAGCTCCTTTTAACTGTTCATTTGTTGGGGGCTTTTTAATCATCTTGATTAGTGGCTCATCATCATCTGAGCTATCACTCTGCACTGGATTAAACGGAAACACATGATGCAATAAATAAATACTCTATTTTGTTTTAAAAACCACCAGAAAAATCATTCTTTGCTACTTCACCAGCTTGCTACAATGTAAATGTTTAGTAGTGAGATGTAGTTAAAACAAGCTACCACTACACTCCTGTGCAAAAAAAAGAGCCCAAATTAATAATGGTAAGTAATGGTAAGTGTCAACCAATTATCGGCCCATCTGATAATCAGAGTCAATTTTCAGCACTTTTCAGATTATTGGAATCAGCAAATAAACTTGCTGGCTTGCCGATAAAGGCCGATTGTTATTTATGCACATATCGGACGCAACCGTAATCAACAAAACACGTTTCTGTAGTCTGGAGCAGTGTCCTGAACCAGCATTGCTTGAAATGTGAATGATGCATAAAGTACAAACAACCAGCACTTCTGCAATCTGTCTCTCTGTGTCCTGCCCTGCATCGAGTACATCCAATCAAATGTGCTTTCCAGTTTTGCGAAACATGCTTTTCGGTTTTGGGAGGGAACGAAGAAGCGCCTGCTTCGCTCCCACAGCAAGAGGAAAAGGTAAAAGCATGTCACAGTTGAACAACATAGTTGGCAAAAAGCTCAATGCACTCAATCATATAATTCACTCACTCTAGCCACACAAACGTGACTCGTACATGCAGCTTGAGCCCTGTCCAAAATATCACATTAGTATAGTGAGGATGAGATTTGTATGTGTTGGAACAAACATTGTGTGCAGACTTATAACGTTTCTGTACTGGTTTAAATCCGCTCAGAATGTGTGTGCCTAGTAGGGGTGGGAATCTTTAGGCACCTCACGATACAATTCGATTACGATTCAGAGGGCTGCGATGCGATTATGAAATGATTATCGATGCATCTCGATATAGCATTTATATTTTCTCACTGTGTGAGCTCAAGTTTCGAGTTCAAGTTTCAAGTTTATTTGTCATTTGCACAACATGTCAGGACATTTATGCATTGAAATGCTTGTGGTGAGGCTCAGCTAATCACTCTACAGAAAATAAATAAGTAAAAATAGAAATACAAGAAAAAACAACTGAAATATATTAAATATACACAAAATACACACAAAATATATACAGAATATAGAGACAATATACATTTTAAAGTGACTAAGTAACTCAGTGTTATTGTTATTTAAATTGACTTGGTACTTTTAAAGCAAAGTATTTGTAATGATCCATAATGAATTTACTTTCAATATCTTTTTTAATAAAACAAATGGAAGTGATGTGGCAAGTGAACTAGAAGGCTCTAATTCAGTGCCCTTGTTTGGAGCATGAGACGCTGCTGCTACTCATCTGCGATAAAATGCGCTGTTACGGTGAAATAAGATCCAGTGGCAGTGGATGTCCACGCAGCACATGTTACAGCTATTCTACCCGTTTTCTTTAGTGATTTTATAACTTCAGTTTTGGTCTCGTTGTAGAGACGGGGGGGGGATCACTGTGTCAGTAAAGTATCTTTGAGACGGGACGTGTGCAGCATAGCGCGAAAGCCCTGTTTCACAACGACTGAGAACCGGCGTGCAGATTGCAGGTCACGTAGCAGCGATGCGTTATTCGCATTTATAAGCAGCACCATTGGTTTCCTGGTATGTTAAATCTGCAGCGACAGACGGTCAAACACTAAACAGTTAGGAAGATGAAGTCGCTTCTCTTTCGCATTTTCCTGTACCACCTTAAATGGTGCCTCAGTCAGAATTTAAGGTGGAATGGGAAAATTCGAATGAGAAGCGACTTCAGCCTCGGAAAACAGTCGAACAATGAGAGACATTTTAGAAGAAACTATTGAACTTTTGAGGAAAAGTTTCCTGAGGGAGAGGGGAGGAAAGCGGCTATAGCTGAAGCTTAAAGCAGAGCAAAGTAAATCTGCGCTCTCGTTTATATTGTTTAGCCTATACTAGGACATTAACACATACGGGACATCAAATGTTGTGGCTCCCAAGCTGGTTTGATTTTTGCTGAAAGGACAAAATGGCTCTTCTCATCATTTGTGTTGTGACTCCTGAACTAACCTGGTTTTTAATACAGAGGGAGCCAGTCGGATTTCTCACTCATCCATGGGTGTTTTTGTTATGTGCCGCCACAGACTGTCCGGGCGCTGCACTTACCCACTTCCAAGTTCCGCCTTTTACGTTCCGTCAACATTACGTTATAAATTAAATATTTAGAAAATCGATTTTTGACATTTGTGAATCAATTCAGAATCGTTCATGTCCGCATCGCGATGCATCTAAGAATTGATTTTTTCCCCGCACCCCTAGTGCCTAGAATGGAGCTTCATTGGGCCCACTGTGCAGACATGCCTCCAGAAAGCTGGTAACTTATATGTAACATCGTAACGCATTGTTTTACACTGAAGTCATATATAATTTCTGGTCATTTTCATATGACATATGTATAATTTTTTTTATTTAAAGTTTTGTACCCCTTTTTTGAGCTCCATTTTTCTTACAAACATCACTGACTATAACTTTAAATGTTTGAGGTACTATTTTTGCAGCCTACTGTCCAAATCGCAAATCACTTTTTATAATGTTCTAATACATTTAACGTAAAATGTGAGCAAGAGTTGCATTCTTGTAAATTTTCACACAATAAGCATTAAACTCATGATAAAAAAAATATTAGCCCCAAATGTTATCAGTATCCTTGATCACTAATAATCAGCATTGGTATCGACCCTAGGAAAAGAAAAAAAAGCTAGCTTTTACTAATGGTTCTGGTCCATATTTAAATCTTATAGACAATATTTAGTCTCACATTAAACACAAACCAGCTTAGCAATGTTTTTCAACTGTTTGAAGCCGTCAATGTTCAGCGGAATAATACTGACTCTTCTTTCTGTGAAAGGCTGTCTGTACGTTTACCCACAAGACTTCGATATTAAAGAAATCAAAATTAAAGCTATCCCATATTAAGCTACTTTATCTTTTCAATTATGGATAATTTAATGACAGATGATTTGTTAAGACCACTTAAAGCTCAATGTTTTGCCATTTAGGGCTTGGTCCATTTTTTGTGCAAGGAAGTGTACATGAACTGCATAGCAATAGCAAGAAAGTAAATAATGAAGCTAAATCAATGTGGCCTTAATCAAGTTAGACATATGCTTGATGTGGCCCTTTTTAAACAGGAATATAATGATACCATTTTAAAGTGACAAATTCTGATGAGAACTGACAGTGTCAGTGCTGGAAAGTCAAACAAACCATGTGAGCAATTAAGCATCTGTGTCTGCAATGGGTGCAACAGTAGCTGAACCCACTAATCAGAAGAGGTGTCTGCAAACTTTTGAACATGAGGTGTAGTCATACATGTGAAACTGAAATGTTTGCAAAAATAATTTGCTGTGAAAGAATCCTTATTAGATTCTCTTTTGTAGCCCACTGAAGAAGCACTGAAGTTTAACCTGTAAACCCCACAAATGACAGACTCCTAGAAGTTGAAATGGAATCACAAGAGGAGCAAATAAAGCTTGGGTGATCTACTTACCTTTGCTTTTGCTGACGATATTTTTCTTCTTGTTGCTACTGCTGTCTGCTTTCTTGGTTTTAGGAAGAGGCTTGGCTGGCGCTTTCTTCTGTGCAGCTGGTTTCTTTATAGTCTTGGAATATAAGAAATACATTTTTTCAATCAAAAAGGTTTACCAGAATGAAGTTCAGATTGTAACCTTGATGAAGAGGCATAAAAACACTAACCTTTTTGGGAGCAGTGTCTTCAGCAGAGTCTGATGCAGACTGATCAGAGGTGTCTTCAGCGTTCTTTGCTGCCTTCTTGGGGGTGGATTTCTTTTTACTACTGGTCTTCTTTGACTTTGACTTGAAAGTCTGATTCAGTGTAAATTAAAAAAAGATTAATAATATTTCAATTTAAATAAAAACACTTAAGCTGTTATTACTTTAGAAGCTTCAGTACAACAATGCATTCATTACACTTGACAGATAAAAAAATATATATATATTTGTAATAATAATGGATTAGACATCCAATTGCCTTAATGACAGCACCAATCCTGTCAGGTAAAGATCACACCCTTCTCGAGTTCCTGTCCATTTTAACCCACTCTTCCACAAAGTTTGTGCTTCATTCCCACATTCTTGGATGATGTCTGTTGAATCAGTCCCAAACGGTCCTACAGTCATAATGGAACACTGGGACAGTTTGACCATCAAAATAAACAGAACTCAGTACAAATTCTCAATTTGTAACAGCAGGTGAAACACTGAAATAGGCACACCTGAACTCTAGCCGAAATGTGAACCCAGTTACTGGGAAAGTGAGTTAGAATGAACAGGATCTCAAGGGACCTAAAAGATTGGTGGTTATTAAGGAGGACATGTAACCAAGTAATAGAAAAAGAAACGACGCATGTGACTAATTTTTTGTCTGGTGAGTAGAGATCAAACGATATTAAAATTTCATATCACGATTATCATGACCAAAATTATCAAGATTATCGCGATATTGTTCAAATGTGTTGAAAAGTAAAATAAATAAATAAATACCGATACACAAACTGAAACTCGTTTCACCAACTTTTATATTAACACAAATAGAATTGGCAGCAATATGCACTTTTTGTTTGCATAAACATTAAAAAATATATAGTCAATATATTTGTAGTATTACTTACAATACTTGTAATACTCTGTAAACAAAAGAATAGCAAATGTATTATTACTGTTTATTATTATTACTGTTATTACTATTATTATTATTATTATTATTACTGTTATTACTATTATTATTATTATTACTGTTATTACTATTATTATTATTATTATTACTGTTATTACTACTGTTGTAATTGTTTTATTATTATTATTATTATTATTATTTACAATAACTAGGGATTTCCCTGCATAGAGAATTAAATCTCGACCAACTCTGAGGTGGGTCTTAATGGAAAATTACTACTTCTAAGCAGTGTTGCACTATGTATGGGACATTGAGTGATTTGAGACAGTGTTATTCTCTTCTCAGACAGTAAACACTGCAAGTGAGACGAGAAAGGGGAGCTGTGCAGATTGAACTTCTGCAGCGTTTCGTTCCAGTGCTTGTGTGACTGTTAACTCAGAGCTCATTTTGGAGACACTGATCCACAGAAATGTGTTAAAAGCTTTAGTTTCGATTCACAGTTGATTCACCGTTTTTTTTTTTTTGATGCTAAAAGCTTCATTTTATATTATTAACGAACCATAAGCATAAGTTAAACCACACAGACAATGACATTTCTTCTATTTCGAAGTCCCCACGGACTTCTACGTTAAAGTTAACCTTGCATTCTCTAAAAAGTAGCGGGTGGTGGTCGCGAAGATGACTCATAAAATTTGATGTGTTGCCCCCTTTCGCCGCTATTTTCTTTCGGCCTGTTCTGCAGACAGGGTGGTCATCTTCAATTAACTTTCCCTCTGCATCCTTATAAAACCCAAAATATGACCACACGCCAGACTTGGTCTTCTTAGAAGGCTGAAATATGTCCGAATCTCTTTCACTACATTCCACCATGTTCTCTCTTCTCTCCCTCTCCCTCTCTCCTCCTCCCCATTCCCCTCTACGCGCACACACACACACAGCTGCATCTGAGAGAATGATTCTGCCTTTGTTTGACTCTGTACAGCGAGTTTTTCACACCGCGGTAATCGACCGCGGTTTTAACGATACTTTAAAGTTCAAACGGTACTACTAACCGTCATTAATTTTACCGCGGTTTACCGTGAAACCGGTAACCGTTTCATCTCTACTGGTGAACTTATCAAAATTTACAAAAACTTACGAAAACACAAATGCAATTCATAAGATCATATAAAAGCGGCTTTAAATGGCACTCTCATGAAGTATATATGTCGTTTGGAGAGGAAATATCAATGCCACATTACAATTAATAGCATCTTGTTTAGAAAAATAAAAATGTGACTTGACAAATTGCATTATATGTCAGCTGCGTTTCTTTCTAAACCTCTTCTTGTTATAAATGCAGCATTTTGAAAGGAACCCAGCACTTCCTTGTAAGTCCTACATTCCATGCTCTAGAAACAGGGCGCAAGAAGTTTGCCTGCACCATAACTAACAAGAGCAGAATCAACAAATTGAGCACAAACCCCATGAAGCCAAGTGACTAAACTTGCTCTTAAGTACTAAACTAACACATGCAAAACCAAAAAACAATACTGTTTATCAGAAGCAACTAATGCCCATATGCCATTTTACACTGCTCATGCTACCAAAACTGGGAGCAGCAGACTGCAGCTGTGTTCGTCAATACATACGAATGGAGCTGACTTCAGTTCTGTTAGATAAGTACTTAACACCACCATTATACTTAAAACAGTGTATTTTCAGTTTGTACAACAAATTATACAACTGAGTAGCAGATCGATTTTACAGTTCTGTGTAGATTTCCACAAGATTACTGGGAAATCTTGTATGTAACTATGTAAAATTTCTTCTCAGACGTTCAGAATCATGCATTCAAGTAAGTATGACAGGAAACTACATGGCATTTCCCTGCATTTTTACTCACCTCTTCATCGTCGCTTTCTTCTAGGCTGTCCTCAGAACCTATGCTCTTCTCCATTTCCTCTTCCACTTCTGAGTTACTTTCATTTCCTTCATGTTTCTGACTGTCTGATGTTTCTGCATCTTTGTTTTTACCTTCTCCCTCATCTTCATCATCCTCCTCATCATCACTACTTGAATCAGTAACAATTGCTCTGGATTTTCCACTCTCTGGTTGCTTCTGCTTGCTCTTGGATGCAGATTTCTCTCGTTTCGCATCCTTCATAGTTTTCTTCTTTCTTTTCTTTTTCACAATTACTGGCTGTGCGGACGCAAATGACAAAAAGACGCAAATGACAAATCTTCCAAAAGTCTGCTTATGATGTAATTCTTGGAATCCTCTTGGTATATTAGTCTCTTGCAATATTCATTTAAAGAAGGGGTGAAATTGTGTAACTCACCTTTCCTGAATTTGTTGGGTTTATGAGAAATTGCATGATCCTATCAACCAGTACAGCTTGATTTCCACTCCTCTCAAGATCAAGGATTTGACAAATGGTCTTAAGTTGCACTTTGGGGAGCCTGCAAGACAGTTATTTATTAATAAAATGAGGGACAAAATTCTAAACTTGACTTCTAATGTGTGTCAATGACATATTTTATTTTCTCCCAAAATGTGTAGATGTATGGGCACATTAGCAAAGCACGCAGACTAGATACACTACCTGGTCATTTTTTCCCTCTTTTTGTTGTAAGGGTCACTGTCGATCTCAAATGGAAAGCCGTTAAATAATCGAAGGTGTTTCCGTAGCGAAGCAACCTGTTAAAATATTTAAAAATGACAATCAGTATAATTTAAAAAGACATGATATTACTCATGCGACTGTGTCATGTTTAAGCACTGTTGACTCAATTCATGTACACATTAATCCAAATAAATATGCTTACAGCTCCTGGGCGATCATAAAGAATCTTGTGAAGAGGTTTCAGCAGTGGGGCTTTGAGTCTTCCAATGGCATGATTGACACGGGCAATGTCTCCCAGTTTGTCCCCTTTACCTATACTCTCAATTTTTGGCTTTTCTTTTGGTTTAGGCACCTGCATATCGAGTCTTTGGACTGTTTTCTTCTCTCGTTTTCCTTCAATGATTTCCCCTTGGTCTGCAAACAGAAGAGAAAAAAAAGAGCATTTAAGAAAACATTTCTAAACTCATTTTTTTCAATAGTTATTCTAACAACAAAAGTAATGAGTACATTACGTCAAATGTTAAAGCATTACATACGTATTCTGCTCTTGGATTTCTGTTTCCAGGACTCATCATGCTCTTCTTTATTTGATCCATCATGGACCTCTTCTTTTGTTTGATCCTCTTGTGATTCCATTTCAACTTCTAAGGAGTCTGTCATTTGTGGGGTTTACAGGTTAAACTTCAGTGCTTCTTCAGTGGGCTGCAAAAGAGAATCTAATAAGGATTCTTCCACAGCAAATTATTTTTGCAAACATTTGTCGGTTTCACATGTATAACTACACCTCATGTTCAAAAGTTTGCAGACACCTCTTCTGATTAGTGGATAACAAAGCTGTGCCCATTGCGGACACAGATGCTTAATTGCTCACACGGTTTGTCTAATCTCCGAAGAAAGGCACCGTTAATAGAATGGATCGCTCTGGAGCAGCCATGCACGAGTCTAAAATCACCAATGGTAAGCGCCAGCTAGAGGGGTCTAAAGCCCTCCGGCACTGGGCTGTGGAGCAGTGAAACTGTATTCTCTGGAGTGATGAAGCTCCATCCAATAATTTTAGGATGAGTTGGAGTTTGTGATCCAGAGCTGATCATCCAACATCAGTACCTGACCTCACTAACACTCTTGAGCCTGAATGCAATCAAATTCTCACAGGAATGTCCCAACTACACTCTGAGAGTGATACCTTCAAGAATACATCTCAGTACCTTTAGTCAATGAACATAACTGCACTATAATCCATCAAAATTATATTTTCTACGTTGTACTGACTCCACATACCCCCATCTCATCTCCAGGCTTTTTATTTTATTGTTCTGTTTTTAAAAAATTTGGTTATGAAAAGGTAAAAATATGTACTTATTTACTGTGCACAACTGGACCTTAAAACCACTGCGGTACCTTTGAGGGAACATTTACATTGTTTGTACCTTGATGAATGAAAAATATACCTGCATAGTACCTTTATTTACAAGTGTAGATCTGGGCAATATGACAATATTGATCATTACTGTGATAAATTACATCTCAATAAGTCAGAATCTGCTTTTTTGAGCAAATCTGCTGTCAGTACTTAACACTTCCCAAAGGGCATGTTTGATTAAAAAGAGAACATCGTTATCCTGTTTAAATGGATTTAGGGCAGCACAGTGTGAGAAATGCTGAACATGAGTTATTTAATTAATAATTTTTGATATTGTTTTTAAAACGTGAGCTTACTTTGTCTGTTCTAGCTAAATACCAGATGAAATAAATATCGTGACACAACGTGTATCATAAAAAAACTTCCTGAAGTATCATGATATTACATTTTTGCCATATTGCCCAGCTCTCGTCCCAACATCAGGTGTAAAGCCTTCCCAGAAGCTAAATAGCTCTGTTACTGCGGAAAAACGAGAACAAACTCATAATAAATGCCTTTGACTGCAGGAAAAACGTTGGACGAGCAGATGTCTACAAACTTTTGGACACGTTGTGTGTTGTCCACAAGACAACAAGCTAACAATAATTTGGCTAGCAAGCTACAGACCACTCACTCGTGTCTCGTCTACATATGTTATTAGGAGTAAGCTATTCAGTCCAGCAAGACCACAGCATCGCCCGATTTGAGCTTGTAGGTCTAAGAAAGCCAAAAAATCTTGAGTAATGTTGCTATTTGACTGTATAAAACCCAACAGACTCTCCTTTACAGAGAGGTTACTGTGAGTTGCTTAAAACGCGGCAAGTTAGACTCAACTTTCATGGCTAGCTAAATTTATTACAAGAATGGCCAAACAGAGCAAACTACAGCTGGTCTTTGAATTAAATTCCAATAAGTGTGCCATCAGTATGAGGAATTATCACAGACTTTGCTATTCAGTAAGCTGTGGACTGCCTTTTAAACCATTTTGTGGATGTTTGTTTGTAGCTAGCATTAGCCTCCTCCCTGCCTCCCGAGTTCAAACTAATTTGGCGCGAGTGGCGGATAGACAAGCTTGCTGGCTGGTAATGAAAACGCAGTCTGCTTTAACGAGCGAAAAACGGCATTCAGCAATATCTAACAACGGCTTAACTGACATGTTTTTAGACCCAATTGTTAAATCTAAATATTTACCGCCACACTACGAATTCAGGCTTCAGTTCAAGGCTTTAATAGCACTAACAGCTAGCATAGCTAACTCGGCTAAGCAGCTAGCTAGCGAACTGTCCCGCCCACAGAGCAGACCAAAACAAACGCAGCGTTTCACTGCAGGGCGGGAAAAACACAAAGCACAGGCTACAAATGAAGCGAACTACTGCAAAAGTGATGTTCGCGTGCTATATGAAATACACAGAGTGAGATCTGATGTAAAAACAGCAGTACTTACAGGCTGCGGACTGTCCGCTCTCTGTGTGATCGGACTCAGATAAACTCCGCAACATGGCGTTTGAAAAGTGTGGGCGTGCGGTCACGTGACCCGGACAGACCTCTCACACGCAGACAGGACGGAGAAGCGCCAGAGTGAAACAAGGCAGAGCCGCTGGAGACGAGCCGGACTGCGGGGCTCAGCTCGGTACAGTCACATCAGAAAAGACGAACATATTTCTATCCCTGTCTCTTAAATCCTGATGATAAATGGAGGGATTCTTAAAAATATACGACCTCATGCGCGTTTTATTGTTCAGAAACAGGCTCGGTGCAATTCCACTGATTTTTCAAAGTTTGCTAAAGTCCGCTAAATTCAGTCGTTTAGATGTAAACAAAGTCAATCAAAGTGACGTTAAACGGTGCATTATAGAGAAAGACAGTGTTATTGCTGTGTTACAGATTATTTTACAGCGGTGGTGATAGGAACCAGGGCTCACAACGTCTACAACACAAATACAGCCTTTTTATTTGCCATCTAAAATGATTAGTGAACCCACATGTGTCTTCTGAGTTTTTACATGTAATTTGGATTATGTCAAAACAGTGGTAAATTTGATCTTAAAACAGTGTCTCTAGAGCATTTCACCTCTAACTGAATGACTTCGTTTACGTGGGGATGTCTGATGAAGGGAGCTGTTAAATTAGCCTTAAAATCTGAATTCACAAATAATTGACGCTACAAGCTGGTAGTAAAAACTGTATATTACTGCTAAGCATACTGTGTGTTACTGCACCACATGAAAGAGGAAAAATAATTGAATATTACAAAGAAATAAATACAAATTTAAAGTTAACGCAGCTGAGTTTCGGTGAGGCTGATACTGCTGATGAACAGCAGGGGGCAGTGCAGTATCTCTTCACTGTGATGTGACCGTGGTCTACTTTCCTCAAGCGCACTTGGTTCTTTTTAAAATAAATTCCTCGAATTTCCTTTTTTTATATAAGGATAAGGATATAATAATATAAAATTACTTATATATTTATATAAAAAGACTGATGTAAGCGAAACAAACGGTAAGAATGACGTAGGCTAATCATTTAAAGAATCAGTAGTGCAGAAATGAGCTCTGAAAAAAAACATTCAGACACTACAATGGTACATAAGCGGAGGTATGCAGACTAAGCAGACTCAGATTTACTACACCCACATAGTGCGGTTTCCTGTAGGACACCATTAGATCCCATTAGTCCATCAGATGGATCTGGAATCAGACCAGTCCTTTACACTGTCATATCAACCCATCAGGAGAACACAACATAGTGACTACTGGACACCACCAGGAGCAAGCAGACACTTTTAATGGTTTCTATCATTTCAGCAGGGTTGATAATATCTCAGTTTGCCTTGATACAGTTTTTGAACATATGTGAAGAATGATCTATTCAAGCCTTATACAGTACTGTAAACATCAACCAACCAGAAAAGTTCTTTCAAAACAATCTAAAGCACACAGTGAATTACATACACTACAGATGACTGTAAGATCCTGTAAAGTGTGCAAAATATGTATTATGTCATGAATATAATGCTCATTATCCATCAAATATATATAATTATATCACTGAAACTGAGAAGCAATGCCACTGTGTACATATCACAGTACACCGGTATATATCGGCCAGCACTAGTTTTACAGTTTTTATGTTCTTTAAAGAGTCCACATCATGGAAAAAACTGAGCTTTTTAAAAATAAGAGTTTGCTGTGTAAACATTGTTACAGTTTCAAAACATACTGTAACAATATTACAATATGTAACAATGATCAATCATTTCTCAAAGAAGAACATTTGCACCTGGACCTGAAAAACAGAAAAGAAAAAAGAGAAGATGAGAAGAAAAAGCTTAAAGATAAAGGTTTTTTTGGCGCGCAAAAGGTGGGGGGGTCGTTGGGCGATGGGGGGCCCCCAAAAGGCTAGAGCCAACATTAACAGCAGCAACAAGTGTCCTTTTAACGGAGGGGGAGGTGCGGGCAGGCGCAGCTTTGCAGGCCACGGCCCCTGAGCCCCTCTTGACCCGCGGACGCCGCAATACTTTTGCCTATATTTTACATTAATTTAGGATCCCATACAGGCGCAGTGTGTCCACCTCACCGTCTCCGTGAGACCCGCTGAAGGACCGAATCTGCCTGACCGAGCCCGCTCCGTTCTGTCTGACCCGCCTGCGTGTGTGAGATTGTTGCCTAGCAGCGTAGGAGCGCTCTGATTGGCTGGCGGCGCGCAGACCTTTCAGAAGGCGCGCGGGTGCTCCTCAGTGCTCAGAAGCAGCTCGAGTTCAGCGGCAGCGCAGAACATCTCCTCTCCTCTCCTCAGCGGATACCTCTGAGACTACAGCATGAGCTGGAATAGCTACTTCTCGAGATCACACGAGCAAGACGAGATATCTTCTCGACCGGCGCAGGAAGAGAACTCTGATCTTCAGACTTTTCTCCAGACCCCCGACTCCTCATGAAGTAAGCGCAGCAGTGTGAAGTTGTTATTGCGCTGCGGGCCGCTTTAGCTTCGGCGTTACCGTGTAGTTTAATGTCCGGGTACATTTCTTCTACTTTCTCGTGTGTTAAAAAGCCCAGTTTCTTCATAAAGCTGCCTGCACTGAAGTCTGCGTTTGAAGTAACTGTACAGTATTCGAGGCATCGTCTTTGCTGGTCTGTGCAGATTAAAGGGGATGGTGACGATGTATACAAAGTCATTCAGAGTGGTTTACTGTGAAATGCTGAGTTCTAGAGAACCTTACAGTCAGAATTGTTCACAGTGGTGTTGATAGGAACCAGACGTCTGAAGAGTTTAATGCCTCTAAAGTCCTTTTCACATAAAGTTATTATATAAAACGGTTATGAATGTGCTGCTTGGGTCTTGAGACATTGTTTTCTGATAGTTTTGAGAGAAGCTTTTGGCCTGAAAGATATTTTCTGAAGCCATTCATGGCGGAGGGGTACATGCAGGGTGATGTAAGACAAACTAGTCCCCAAACTAGTTTTTTAGATTTAGCAGTATTTTACCATCTTTAGCATTACATATACACATTTAGAAGAAGTGTATGGACTGGTGGTTTTGGATAGTAAATAAATTTGCTGTATTTGTGTTGTAGACATTGTGACCCCTGGTTCCTATCAGCACCACTGTAAAGAAATCTTTGTTGATTAGTTGATTTCTCTACAATGGACCATTTAACATGAAACCCCTCCTTCTTTAATATTGGAATTTCCATTTAATTTCATAATACGACAAATAAGACACTGATTTTTTGAAAGGATCTGAACATTGGAGAATTACTCTGCTTAAATTTAATCTGTTTTATCACTATACAAATCAGTCTTCACTCAGTTTCTCACCTGGTGACTCATCCTTAATCAAGCCTGTGTCAAATTGCCTCTCAGTGATTTGGACTCATTATAATGATTGCTTTGCTTTATTTCCATTTGTGGATGTGCTAATTATTATTCACACAGCCTTTTCGCCATTTAACCACTGATCATGTTAATGTGCCCCTTCTTACTTCTGATCGTATCCTAAAAATGACACAAAATTGAACTGTGAAGATGGAACTGAAGATGGTACTACTGGCTGCAAATGGTGGTTATGAACACATCAAAGCATCTGTGTTTTCTCCACACACATTCAGCACATGCATGTGCCCCTCCACTGCACTGGGATTTGCTCTTGGACCTCTTTAATGCTACTTCATGAGATCTGATTAAAAATGCAGGCCTCAAAATTACCATCATGACAATATTATAGAGAGGAACTTACTAAAGAGAATTAATGATTACAAGAATAGTAGCATTAGACCAATTAATTAGACAGTCCAGCTAAAATATTTAAATCTCAATGAGCAGCTTTGAAGAAGTAGGACAGTGCCAAAGGCTCCGTCTCTTTCCCGCCGTGTCTGATGTGTGATCAGTCAGTGTTGGCGGAGGAAAAAACATGGAATTTACTCATTCAGAAAAGAAACCTCACCAAGGACTACAATAGTAGTAATGCAAGCTTTCCAAGCACTTTTTCTACAATGTAAATATATACAGTCATATGGAAAAGTTTGGGCGCCACTGGTGAAATTACACATTTTGCTGAAAATATGTTAACCCTGTAAATATATATATATATATATATATATATATATATATATATATATATATATAGATAGATATATATATATATATATATATATATAAAGAGAGAGAGAGAGAGAGAGAGAGAGAGAGAGATTGAAAATGCAATTATCTGTTGTGGTACTGTTTGTGTATGGTCATAGTGCCTTAGCAGAGGTGCTAAGAAAGCCAGGACAATAGTTCCAGTTTAATGGCCACACCTTTTATTAGCACTATGACCACACACAAACAATACCACCATCACATCTGTAATAATAACATAATTTCTTGTGATGAAATTGTAGCTCTTTGATCAGCAAGATTTGGTCACTTCTTATCGAACATGGGGCGTTCTGCACAGTAATTTTAAGTTTATTCTTGATGCTATACAGCTTTCTCAATCATTATAGAATCATCTACAGCTCAATTTATACTTAAACAGTTTTTTCCAGTTTCCTACTAGGGATGCACTGATATGGGAATAGTGGGCCAGTGCTGATATCTGATATTTTTATGTACATAACTGCGATGCCAATGCATAAACATTCATAAAATGTAGAAATATAGATGTTGTAGATAGAACTACTATAACATTCATTCATAGATAGGTAAAAATATGGTAAAATTAATAAAATGCAGACGTTTTAGTGTGGTATCCCAGCACCACCTAAACATTCTGTTCATCCAAAGTACAATAAATACATCATCAAATATCACTTTTGTTGTAATATCAGTCAAGTCTAAACATTTGTCCAATGACGACTTATTTTTCACCCAAAAATCTGGCGATACTGATATGAATCCGTTATCAGTGCGCATCCTTGCTTCCTACAAATTTTAAAACATATAAAATGTTATCATTATATTAGAATAATTTTGCCTGTAACAAAATAGTTTTATATAACTGAAAACACTGATTCCGAAAACCTTTGAATGGTAATGTATATGGAAGCATACTGTCCAGTTTAAAAAAAAAATAAATGAATGAATAAGACTCTGGGTTTTAAATATCTCCGTTGTTTCTGCATCATTTGCACTCAGCAGCTGCCCTTTACATTGTGTGAAAACTTCATAATGAATGGATCAATAGAAATGCTCCAAAGTTGCTTTGGATTAACACCTCTTTACATTAACATACATTAAAAGTAAATAACTTTTTTGCTTTCTTCTGTAAAGTTACAGTTTTAGAGATACATGTTTTTAGACAACAGTGGTATACAAACTGATCAGAAAAATAGATGCTTAAATTCTTGAATTCTAAATTCTTAAACTCATAATAGCATTGTCACAAATCAAGCTTTTCTGTGATTAAAAATATGCACACTGAATTATTCATGGCACTCATTTTAACTGATTTTTTCCATGTCAAGGCTCTACCTCATCTAGAGCACTATGATCAGTGATGCATCAAGTGCAGCGGAGTTCTGTGGGGACAGCGCTTCAGTCTTGTCGCTGGATTCCAGTGTGTTCTTCAGCGAACCCCCTCCACCAGCTGACAACCCACTGGACTTCTTCATCATTAATGTCGGAGGGAGCCGCTATATTCTCTCCCAGGAGCTGCTGGCCTCCCACCCAGAGACGCGACTGGGCAAGCTGGCCCTGTCCACCCGGGATTCAGCCTTAGACCTGTGTGATGATGCAGACTTTCTGGAAAATGAGTTCTTCTTTGACCGCAACTCACAGACCTTCCAGTACATCATGAACTTCTACAAGACGGGCCATCTGCACGTCAGAGAGGAGCTGTGCGTGGTCTCCTTCCTGCAAGAAATCGAATACTGGGGCATCGACGAGCTCCGCATAGACAATTGCTGCAGAGACAAGTACTACCGCAGGAAGGAGATGAAGGAATCTCTAGATATCCGTAGGGATGCAGAAATGATGGACAGTGATGATGAGGACTTTGCCGGAGTGTTATGTCAGGACTTCCGGCAGCGTCTCTGGGACCTCATGGAGAAGCCGGATTCCTCGAAAGCAGCAAAGACGTTTGGGACCTTGTCAATGTTCTTTGTGGTGGTGTCCATCGTTAACATGGCCCTGATCTCTTTGGACTTCACTGTCCTCGGTGCGCCCATCTTGGACGTCCTCGAGTATATCTGCATTGTGTGGTTCACAGGAGAGCTGGTGCTCAGGTTCATGTGTGTGAAGGACAAATGCAAGTTTAGCAGGAGTGTAGTGAACATCATTGATCTGCTGGCCATCCTGCCCTTCTATGTCACCCTCGCGGTGGAGAGTCTGCACGGAGGATCCACAGAGTTGGAGAATGTGGGACGGGTGGTGCAGGTCCTGCGACTGATGAGGTCTCTCAGGATGCTGAAACTCGGACGACATTCCACAGGTAACTGTTGAAACTCATTTAGGCGATTTCTTAAAACTGCCACATAATAAGATGGAAACAAATGCATTCAGAGTGGTTTGATGTGACATGCTTGATTGTATGAAAACTTATCTAGTCATAATTGTTCCAGTCCGAAGTGCAAAATTGCTGCCTGGTGCTTGAGATACACTTTTGCCCTAAAAGGCATTTTTAAAACATATTAGTGGCAGAGGAGTACATAGTTGTAAAGCAATTAGTCCAGCAAAGAACACATTTTTTAGATTTATCACTATTCTATCATTATCAACATTACATATAAAAACTTAAAAGACACCTGTAGGTTCACTGTTCATTTTAGATGGTAAATTAAATTCTTGCTTCTTTTCACTGGGATTGAACCTGCTGTCCCACGTGGATGTGTAACTTAACCATTAGGCTAAACAGCCAATTACAATACTCACATGTGCACAGCACAAAGTCTGTAAAAGCACATCAAACAGTAGGATTGTTCTCACATTAAGTATTGTATTAAAGTGTGAAAGGTAGCAAAGACAACTGTCAAAACAAACATGTTTAATAACTAAACAAAATTGCTAAATAAATAAACAAAAATATCTATTTGTTCTTATGTGCCTATATAAAAATAAATATAGGGTCTGTACTTGATCATTTTCAGTCAGAGGCACGCTTTTTAATTTACTAATACTACTAATAATTTATCACTTCTCATATTGTTATAGTAATATTAACAGCTTTATCAAACATCACTTTAGAAGATCTTTAGAAGGATTTTCACGTACACAAGTATCTGTGATAACATGTACTCAGTGTTATCAGTTTTTAGGTATACCTACCTTGTGCCCATACTCTCTAGCCATTTTTTTGAAACCTACTTTACAGTCAGTTACTGTAAACCTACAACGTTCTTCTATAAGGTAGGTCTCTAAAAGAATAGTCAGGGTTGCCGGTTTTTAGGTACACCTATCTTGTGCCTAAGCCATTTTTCTAGAAACATTGTAGGTTTACAGTTACTGGTTGTAGCTCAGTGAAGCCCTTCTGTTGCTGCACAGTTTGTTAGCCCCCCTCTACTCTGGATATTATTTGAGTGGTGGATCATTCTCAGCACTGCAGTGACACTGAGATCGTAGTGGTATATAGTGTGTGTTGTGCTAGTATGAGTGTATCACTGGGTTTTAAAATACTGAGTACACTTCAAGTCCACTTTAATGAATACACCTACCTTGCTGCTTGTACTCCATGTAGGTGTACAGAGACTATAGTTTTTTTCAGCTTCTTCCATGCACAATTTGTATTAAATACACTCTATGCCCTCCCTTTTTGTCCTTGGGGGCCAAAGTGCAATGTTAGAGGGCTGAAAAGTTTTACAAATATGTATTTTAAACCATTACACTGTATTTTGTCACTAAAATACTTGCTTCGAAATACATTCACAAAGGAAAATAAAAAAAAATGTATGAAGTTCTATATAGTCAAAAAATATGTTTGTTCTTTCATTGGGTAAGGGTTGACTTTCTAGCAGGCCAAGTCAGACATCCTACCAACTCTTAAAAATAAAGGTGCCATTATTTATTATTTCTGAAGACACTGTAAACTGTGACTGGACATTTGCTGTTGTTTAACATGGAGTGCAGGAAAGCACCACTATTTTCATAATTAAACATCAATGTCAAAATAAATTTGTCTCATTAGAAACGGTGCAGTTGTAAAACTTGTCATCTCTGTAGGAGAGAAGAGACCTGTGTGCCTGGGAGATATCATAATTCATGAACTTTCACTCTGTGGGGCTATTTTTGGAGAGAGAGAGAGAGAGCAAATTTATTCATCCATTCATATTTTGACATTGTACCACAGAGATGGGGAGGAGGGGTCTTATAGACGGGGAAAAAAGTTTCACAGTGCAGTGCGGCTTGCTTTGATCTTGTGAGTTTTGGAGAGAAAGGATCCAACCCTCAGATGCACCACAGACATAAATAATTAAAGGAAATGATGTTTCAGAGCAGACAGCAGAGACGATGGGAGGAAGTGGGCTTGTGCGTATCATGACCGCTAGGGAAAAAAGGGGGGAAAAAAAAGGATCATGAGATTTCTTGCTTCTGTGACAAATCCTGAAATGAATTTCAAAAAAGATGAAAGAGTTGAGGTAAGTTCAGGTACATAATGACTAAAGTCTGTCTTTGATGGTGCAGCAATTCCAGCCTTTATTTTTTGGCTGATTTTTAAGCAAAGCTGTTTTGATGCCGTGAATTAATACTGCGCCTAATGAAAGCCGTTTTCACCCACTCCCACTGAGTCCCAGCATACTCAGGTGCAGATTAAACCAATTTTATGAGCAGTCATTGTAAGGTTTGTTTGCTGACTGAATATCAAAATGTGTTATTTTATTATCAAGTGAAACCAGCAGATACTCCGCAGAGGGAAAGTGAAGCCAGCAGCCAGCGCACTGTTATTTCCATCCAGTTTTAATAACGTGTGTCTCTCACATCTGCACTCCGCTTCGCCTCACACTGAAGGTGTTTGTCCCCAACACTGGCTAATCTGATCACAGCAACACAAACCAAGTGAAAATGAATAGATGCAGGTTAAGCCTGGCGTGCTAGCCTGCATGGCAATATCTTTGAATGACCGTCTTTCAGCAAGCTTTATTCATTTGAACAGTCAGAGCAAGAGACTGAAAAAAGCAATACAGACCATTTAGCATCAAGGTTTTGAAAGCACTGAGTGTTTTCATTTCTTACAAATACAGACAAGCAGTTTTATACCCTACATCTTCAAAACACACTTGCATCCAGCGTTTCTTCTGAAATTAAGGGTGTTAATGGGGAGTTTGTCCCCCTTTGCTGCAGTAACAGCATCTACTCTTCTGAGAAGACTTCAGGGACATTGCTGTGAGGATTTGACTGCATTCAGTCACAAGAGCATTAGTAAGGTCAGGTACTGATGTTGGATGATCAGTTCTGGATCAAACTCCACTCCAACTCATCCCAAATGTGCAGGATGGAGCTCCATCACTCCAGAGGACACAGTTCCAACCAGGCTAATGTACAGCTGCTGCAGAGCTTCCCATTCTATTAACAGTGCTTTTCTATGGAGAAACAAACTGTACTCAGTTGAGAATCTACATCAGCAATGGGCGCACCGTAAAGTAGCTAAACTCACTAATTTGAAGATGTATCTGAATATATAGTATACATTTTTTCATTTAAAGGATATATGCAACTACTTCATGATGCCATACATGCAGACATACATGCAGCAATATTTGACAAGCATGTCAGGCCATCGCTATTATCTGAACGTTTAAAATGGAATCGGTTCTCCCTTTGGGAGAGGAAATCTCCCAAAGAGAGTGTTATACAAAGGTTTGGACCCTGGTCAAATTAGGTGTTTTGTTGATTTTTGAAATTGCAAATACGGGAAACGGCCCATGTTATGGAAAACTGAATTATCTCAACTTTTTTTTAATAAAAGAGGTTTTATAAGAGACATAGTATGTAGACTAGGTTTGAATCAGGCCATTCACACCCCAGTCCATGCGGTCCATATATGGACACTAATCTGCAAAAGCAGCCCGTATTGAATTCAGTGTTTTGTCACGAAATGTCATGAAAACGAACATATTCACACACACACCTTATTCAAAAATTTATCCAGACTATAACACTATATATATATATATATATATATATATATATATATCCCCATCTGTTCATCCTTTGCAGTTTAGCTCCACCCATTCAAACTGAAGTTGTAAGGAGTGTTATAGTTTGGATAACTTTTTGAATAAGGCATACAGAGCAGCCAGTCGCAACAGAGGCAGTTTACATATATATAGTCTTAAAGGCACAGTAATGAAAACACCTTGTTTAATTCTAAGGCAAGGCAAGTTTATTTATTTCATACACGGCGATCATTCAAAGTGCTTTACAAATGAGAAAATACAAATATAATTAAAATGAAACAAGATTACAAATTAGATTAAACCATGATTAAAACAATAGATTTAAAATAGAAGAAATTAAACACCAAATTAAAAATTAAATTAAAAGTTAGGATAGTAAAGTGCTATTACAGGTGAGAAGTTCAACAGAGCTAACAGTGTTTTAAACTGAGCTGAAAACCTGCTCAAATAGGAAGCACAGTGAGAAAGAGTGTGTTGGAAAATGATCATTTAAAAATAAATTATTGTTTTTTCTAAAACGACACAAGTGGACCTCAGGGAAAAAGATAAAACAAGTAAAATGTATATAAATATGGGGGCTTTAACACATACAAACAGGGAACATATGTTGCCTCTTTCTGTCAGCCTCCAAGTGGCCATTCCACCAGCAGAATCTAAATCAACTTTTTACTAACAAAATATTTTCTCCATAGCCCTGTTATCATATTAACTAGAACATTGTTGGCTCTGTGTGTGTGACATTTTATGAGACTGTGTTGAGCTGCTAGCGAGCAATGAGGGAGGAGTGAGGACCCTGTGCTTTGAAAATAATTCACATCTTTCCACAACAACAGCTACACTGAGATAAAACACACAAACTGCAGATTTCTTGCTAAAAAAAAATAATGTACAACAACCACAATAGAAAAAACAGCATTTAAACACAATAAAAACACTTGTTTGCTCACCCACAAAGACTGCTACCTATTTTGTATAGCTATCAACATTATTGAAGAAAAAATCATAGTTCAACCGAGGGACCTTCTACAAAACAGGCAGAACTTGCATTTTACGATGTGATGATGGACCAAATATGGCACAAACAGTGCACAGTTTGTATTTATTTTTTTGAATTGGGGAAAAAAAATAAAACATAAAATGCGGCATGTGCCTAAACGTTTTGTTTTATTTTCTTCCAATATGTTAAAATTAGCAAATATATGTAATTATGCATTTACACTTGCAGAAGTGTGTTCCCTGTAGACGACATGTTCACTTAAAACATCAACACAATGTAATTTGACCATGGCTGCCCAAACTTTAGGATAAGACTGTGTTCATTTGAAATATGATGAAAGTGACTTTGATAAAGGAGCTTAAATGCAAATGGCAGACCTCAGAAATGACAGACATATAACTGAGGCAGGATTTTAACATTACCAGTCATATTGTTTTGGATATGGTTGCTTGATGGAAATGCTGTGAAAATGGCAGCAGATCCAGATGCCTCAGTGGAACGCAAGGCAGCTAAATTTGGATCAGCTGCTCTTATGCATTTGGATTTTTTCTCTTTTTCATAGAAGCAGCAACTGTTGTATAAACTTCATATGGCTGAGGCATAGAAAGTTTTATAAATACTAAGTTCTAAATAGGTGAGTTGCTGTTTCTAAATGCAGTGAGGAATGTAAATGTATTCGGTGAGACTGACAAAAAGATAAATGAAGAAATTCACAGAGTGTCACGCCATTTCAGAGTGTGAAATGATAACAGCTGTTGAATGGGGCCTATATTTAGACTGACATCTCTTGGATGGTGTTAAATCATTTTTTCAAAAACCTTCGCCCTGAGCTTCACACGCCAATACCGGCAATTTCTGCAAGGTTGAAATGTAAACCTTTTTTTAACACTGAAAGGAACATCTATAAATGTCCTCCACTGAGGGTTTTAAACTTCACAACTATGCATGCACATTCGAGTGGCTCTCCGCTGCAACACTCCTACTGCAGTGCTAGAGAGGATTGCTAATGTCAGTGCTTAAAACCACAGGTACTATTACGGCTTTGCAACAGAATCTGAGAAAAGACTCCCTTTATTTGTCCTTCAGGTTGCAAGTATTTGTATTGCTTCTATGCCAGAATATCTGTGACTCAGTTGTGATAAATTGTTATGTGTGTAATGACTCATAACCTTTGTAATTGCATGCTTTTCTTCATGCATTATTGATATTCCACTCCTCTCTTCATATCTCCTCATAGTTTCAGGGCAATGTTCTTCACTTATCACTTTGTGACAGTTATACTGGCTCATGTGATTTCAATACTACAGACTTCAAATTTCAAACAGGTTAGGACAGTATGTGAAATGCAAAAAACAAAGCAGTGATTTGTAAATACATTTGACCTGTTTTTAAACGAATACAGGAATACAAAGACAATGTTAATGTTTTGCCACATTAAATTCATTATTTTTTGCAAATATGTGCTTATTCTGAAATAAATGCCTACAACACATTCCAAAAAAATTGTGATAAGGGCAGTTTAAGACTAGAAGTGTCGTGAAATGTCCAAAATCATCTTAAACAGGTGATGCAATCATGCTCAAGTATAAAAGGAGCAAGGATGGGTCGAAGCTCACCAAAAAATGTCTCAACTGTGTAAAAACAACACTTCTCAATAAGTATTTGCAAGATTTTAGGTAATTCATCCTCTACAGAACAAAATATCATCAACAGATTCAAGGAATCTGGAGAAATCTCTGTGCATAAAGAGTAAGACCAAAAACCACAAATGATTTCCAGTGTCCTTGAAGCCCTCAGATGGTCCTTATTAAAAACGTATATGCTTCTGTGATGGATATCCCCACATGGGCTCAGGGAAATCTCTGACAAACTGTTGTCAATAAATGCAGTTCTTCACTGCATCAACAAATGCAAGTTAAGGAAATGCACAGCGGAAAGTCAAATATCAACAACTTCCAGAGACACTGCCTACTTCTCTGGGCTCGATCTGAAATGGACTAGTGCAAATGAGTATTGTGGGGACTATCCAAATTGTTCAAAAGACAGTGTCTGGCATGGTATGGGGGGGGTGTTATTAATGCTTATGGCATGGGTCACTTGCACATCCATGGAGGCACCATGAACACTGAAAAGATATTTACACAGTTTGGAGCAACATATGCTGCCTTCTAGCTGACAGCCATGCTTAATTTAACATAACAGTGCCAAGCCTCATTCTGCATGTGTGACAACAGTATGGCTTCATAATCAGAGTGTGGCTGCTAGACTGGCCTGCCTGCAGTCCAGACCTGTCTCTTGTTGAAAATGTGGCACATTTTCCAACCTTTCTTGAAATGTATGCGTGTTGCAAGCATCCAATTTGTAATGAGTGTATATAAAAAAATGGTTGTAGTATGAGAAGAGATTGTATGACTGTTAGAGGGGTGAGATCTTTTCTAGGCAAGACTTTGGGTGTTTTTTTTCATTGCCAACATGTGAAGAAAGACCAGTAGGAGAACTTAAAATATGCATTACCATCATGCAAATTGCCAATATATAGAATTACAAATTCAAATTAAAACCCTAGAGTATATGGCCTCTGTTTGACCACTAGCATATTTTCCTCAACAGGTCTGAAGTCGTTGGGCATGACCATTGCTCAGTGCTATGAGGAAGTGGGCCTGCTGATGCTTTTCCTTTCTGTGGGCATCTCCATTTTCGCCACAGTGGAATACGCCATCGAGCACGACATGCCCGAGACCACCTTCACCAATGTGCCCTGCGCATGGTGGTGGGCCACCACCTCCATGACCACCGTAGGCTATGGGGACATCCGTCCGGACACGGCTGTGGGCAAGGTCATGGCCTTCATCTGCATCCTCTCAGGCATCCTCATCCTCGCTCTCCCCATCGCCATCATCAACGACCGCTTCTCAGCCTGCTACTTCACTCTGAAGATGAAGGAGGCGGCGCTGCGTCATGGCGAGGCACTGAAGCGTCTGACCCGCAGCTCGGCCTCCGATGTGACGGCGGCTGGGGTGAATTTGCGGGACGCCTACGCAAGGAGCGTGCTGGAGATGCTGCGGCTGCAGGGTCGAGAAAGAGCCAGCACGCGCAGCAGCGCAGGCGACGACATCTGGTGGTAGTGGGAAACTCCTCAGAGAAAGATTATTGAGGGGAAAAGTGTGAAATGCAAACATATCGTTAAACTAAGCCCTGTTCACATATGGCATTAAGATGTGTGTTGGGTGATCTGATCATTAGTGGACAGCGTCAAGTACAGGTGTGAACGGGATGAATCAATGTGTCTTGGAGACACAAGCTCTGTTCAAAATAGCCAAATACCTACTGCTTGTGTACTGACGGTGCCCAGAAGTAGTAAGTAGTATACATCAATGTGAGTTTCTCCAGTACGCCAAAGATTCCTGGATGACATACTGCTCTGGCCAAATATTACAGTATGCAGACTAGGCCTGTCACAATCATTACTTAATCGCCTAACCGCAGTTATTTCAGTTAATTAAAATTATTTTAGCTGACCCCAATTATTTTCACATTGTCTTTCACAATTATATGCAATAATGTACATAAATGTAATAAAGTGCATTTTCATCTGTTGGGTTCTGAAAAATACCTTTTAATAAAAGAAAACAGATAATGCATTTATTGAATCACATCACAGGCCTTATGAAAACAAAAAAGTTGGTACTATGCTATGTTTAGTCACACCAGTGAAAAATGTTTGTTTATTCCAGCTTGAGCTCTATCTATCTGTCAGTTTGGAGCTACTAAGTACCTATAGCCAGAAGACAAGATAGCTAATCAGCCAAATTGGCCACTATACAGTGAACAAAGAAAGAGAATTATATTGTTAATCACAGTTATTTATATGATTATTAATCGCCAGCTAAAATTTCATGATCATGACAGGCCTAATGCCGACAAAGCTATCTTCATGATCTACTGCATCCCAAAATGCATGTCATTTTTAGAAATATTTGCCTAGTTACCCCCAAATATTTTAATCCCTTAAAATCCAAGGCTTATTATATACTAAGGCTTATTATTCAGTAACTACAGGGGCTTCAGTGGAAACTGTCTGAGTTATTTTGAAGTTATAGAAGTGTGTAATAAACCTTTTGGCCCTGGCCATTTAAGGGGTTAATAGCCCTGAATTCAGCCTAGTATAGATTCATAAATAAGAGCAAAATAAAAGAAAAAAGGCTCCTGTCCAAATGCTACTGCACTCTCAAAGTTTTCCCTGCTGGTCTTGAGGTGCGTTTGCTTACTTCGTCTTTTTAATAAAGTTAGCTTAATGCATAAATTTGCTTTAAACAGTAACTTACTGAAATTGGTCTCAGCCAAACAACCCTCTCAACATCAACTTTTCCAGCCTCAAATGTGGAGTCAGACTGCTTTTTCAGTTTACTTGAGTCTAATGAAAGTGAAATAAATCAACTTTTAGTAAACATAGGAAAACATAGGTGTTTTTGTAAAGCACACAGGTTTAACACACAGATGAATCCAAAGCTGACATTTTTAAAAGTTTTTCTGTGGCTTTGGAGATGAGTAGAAAGGTTCTTTCTTCGTCTTCTGTCCAGTTTATGAGGTGCATTAGCAGTCCATGCAGTCTAAGCATTAGATTTGCTAACGTTTTGCGCTGTCTCTACTTTGGCATTAAAAAGCAGTTAAAAACGCCCCGTAGTGACCATAATAAGATCAAAGGGATGGTCACTGCTCTGTTGCACTTTCGCTTCATTCCATATGCATTAGTAGGAGTTCCCCTCTTAAAGCACAGAATAATGGAAGGAGATTGTTAGAATTAAGTACGTGCTCTCATTTACCAAGACTGATAGTGAAGTGATGTCTTGTCTTATCTCGATGAAGCTTGTCATATTTTGGTGCTAACACCGCTGAAATTGTTTGAGCTCAGAGAGAAAAGAGAGAGTTTCAAAAACCTTTACTTATTTTTGACAAAAAAATAAAAACAATTTGTAAATACCTGCAATGTCACATTACTTTTTAAAGGAACTAAAAAACCTAAAACCAAATAATTTTAGAAAAATTATCTTTTTAACAGTATTTAACAGTGCAATGTACCATGTAACAGTACTATACTCATGTATCAGTCCTTATTAAATAAATATTTAATAAATAAATCAGCAACCAGTGCATGTACACAAACAATTACATGTTTGTCTGAGAACAAATAAAGCAAGAGACTGGCATGATGTAGTAAATCTGTGCAGTGCCCTTCCTGCTGTTACAAAATACAATCCCAAGTAGTCACTGGAGACTCGGTTGAGATGCATGGAAATGCCAGGCATTTTGATGTCCACTTCTGTTTAGATCACTCAAGACCGCTGTTAATACCAGGTGTGAATAGGGCCTTATACTTACCTGTATTTGAACATATTAGTACTGTGACTATTCAGCTATGTTCACATTACTTATTGCTCGGTTCATTAATTTTCCTCAGATTCAGTCTTTCTGCTCTCGTTGACCCATATCTGTCTTTAGTGTGAACACACTCCTGCCCTGGAAGGATGATGACGGTGATAATGACAGTAATTTACGCACATGCAGTGAAGTTTTGATTATATGGCCACCAGGGTTGCAGTGATAACAATACCAATACTTTAACACAGTATCGATGTCTGTAATATGGAATAAAGAAAGATACCATGAAGCAATTTCTGATGTACATGTATGCTACTGAACGATGCATGCATGCGCGCCAGTAGATGTAACTTAACATCATCATCAGCGCATCATGATGACGTACGCTGTTAGAATCTCATGGCAGCGAGAGCAGAGGTAGTTCATGTGGGGGGAAAAAAACTCTGGCTCATGGGATGGAGCAATGTTTTAGTGATTTTGGAGCAAGAAAGAACACCAACGCACTCTGGGCGAAATCACACTGCTCCACTCCCGCTCCACACCAGTCACGTCCTCTTTTGCTCACCACCCAACTTCACAAACTGAGAGACCGTTTGATGAAGACAGAGCTCACTCCTCACTGGCTAAAAGGCCAATAAACATGCAGACACAAACTGTGTTGAATACAGCACATGATCTATTAGTGTCTGTGTTTGCGGTTGGTATTTTCACATGTAAAAATCAAGTTTATATATTTTTTAAAAAATGTTACATCTGATATGTTAATATCATGAGAGCTACCAGTTAGGGATGGGCGATATTACTAATTTTCTTTTCCAATCCTATGCCAAGTTATACTAAGGCTAAGATCCCAATACCAATACAGATACTTTCAAAAGGGGGAAATTATTTGTTACTGGTACCAATAAAAAATTCAAAATGTAAAATGATATTTGATATTATGATAGGATATTAAATGATATTAAAACATTTGGTATTAAATAAAATGTGTTTTTAGGGAAAAAATATGTTTTTAGGGTTTTGGAGGGAGCGAACATTAAAGAGACAAGGAAGCACTGGTCTTTAGGGGTATATGTAAAGCCTTTAGCCTTGGTTTTGCCTTTAGCATAGCAGCCATTAGCACTGTCTGCAGCGCGTCTCCAATGTCAGCAGCGCGTCTCCAATGTCAGCAGCTTGACCTTTTGGCCTGTTGCTTCAGTCGATCCAAGAAAACCACTAAAAACAGCTGCTACTGACAACGTGAACAACTGTAATATTTACTGAACTCCAACGGAGACTGACGCACAGAAATATAAGCATGAGTGAACGGAACACGTAAGACACAAGTGACTTTAGAAATTTAGACATGAAAAACATTTAGCACCATTTTTGCCAAGCCAGAGAAACTGCTGTGTGCTTACATGTACACACCGCAGGTTTATCTGTATATTGTTCAGTTCTGTTTTTAACTATTTTTCACAATCAAATTTTTATCAGATTTTTTACTTCAGTTGTGAAATATGGTAGTTCTTAATAAATATGGGTCATCTTATTAATTAATTAATTATATTAAATACTAATTATATAGAGTAAATAAACAAAAATAGGTTTCTTAAGCATCTTAAATAGTTATTTATATAAATATATAATCCAACAAGTACATGCCATTCATAGAACATTGCTATTACCAAAATAAAATATAAACCAAACATACCAAAATAAAAGCGGAATTGTATAAATATCAGGATTTATTGGCTATAAGTTACAAAGTTAGTATTGGGATCAGTACTTGGTATGAGCTTACACTTAGGAACCAGGTACCGGTGCATCCCTAATGGTCAAGTATTAAATCTTACTTGATCCATTTTTTGTGTTCACACAGCTCTGAAAACTTCAGATTTATGCCACTTGAACCCTGTAATGTGAATGTAGCCACAGTGCATGCAAGTCTTTCTGTGTTTGTGTCATATATTTACTGTCTTCTTTGAATTTGCCCTCATTTTTTGTCATTCAGTTTTAATTGTACTTCTGTAACATTTCCAGTGTTTTTATATCTATGATATAAAAATGCAATTTCAGAATTAAATCTGTACTTGGCCTTTTCCCTTGTCCTGTGTTCCTTTTTGAAAATATCACCAGTTCATCAGAGGTCAGAGTGGCCCTGCAAAATAGCTAGTCATATGAACCCGGAGAGAAAAGCAAGGCCTGTTTCAAATGCATGTCAGTATCGCAAATGTCCAACACCCCATTCATTTTCCAAAAGCTCCCTACGTCACAAAGACACCATCTCGACTGTTGTGCCCATTTTAGCCATTTCCAAATGCTCCCAAGAATTCTTCATTTTGAATCATACTGTGAGTGAGATGTCCTTAAATGGTGGCTTGGCTTCCCCTCCTTGCAGATTGCTTGACGTATTCCCTGGACATTTAAGGGAGGCATACTAAGGCTCCCCCGTTTTGAACTCGAAGTGACACAGCTGCTAAGAAGCAGGGAAGAACATATGGCTTTAGTAAACTGTGGGTCAGTGCTAAAGGCTAAATCTGAAATAGAGATGAAAGATTTCACAGTTTGGTCTAATAACAAGACAATACTGGAGGGCCTGATTGTCAGCGTGATTATTTTATCTTTTGATGATTATTTTCAGTACCACTGTTGCACCAAACGTTATGAAGCATCCTGCTTGCATTTCAAAGGCTGCCCTAGATTTCACTGTGTACTTTTTATTTCAATGTACAGTCTAGACATAATAAGAATCATTTGAAAATGCCCCAATACTTTAATTTCTTCTTGTACCCATTTTGCAGGTTCTCTTCTCTTGCCGTTGCGCTTCTATTCATAAAATACAAATTTAGATGAAACTCTAACAGAGGAGGGCGAGCAGGCAGCATGCCCTGCTTAGAGTTATAAATAGAATGCATTTGAATGCGTTTGATGTACAGGGATGAGGGCCTTATCCATTCCCCAGCTGACCAGCTTCCTCCAACCTGTCATCCAAGCACCAGAAACATAGAAATGAAACAAGGGCATGTTCAATATGTAATTAGATGGCATCAGCTGTCTGCATTCATACGCATGCACGCATGAGAGAAGAGAGCAAGAGAAAAAGCAAGACGGAACAGACAAAGAGAGAGAGCTGGAAGGATGCGGTGGAACAGGAAGGAGGAACAAGTGTTCTGGTAACACTTTCTATGAATGTCACCTTTGTAAGCATCTATAAACACATTCATAACATGTTATAATGCATTCATAAGACATTATAAACATAGCTATAAATATTTATAAAAATGCATTATACATTATAGCCATGTTTATTATGCATTATGAATTGTTAACATATTACATTATAAGTACTGATCATAACAAATTATAAGAGCTCATAAGTTGTATTTGTCCGCTCTAAGTAAAGTGAAGCATACTGTACTAAAGCCTCCTCCAGGTGAGGCTTCAAGTTGAAGTATTTATTGAAGGATTTACTGAAACACTAAAACATACACAATAAAGCACATTACAGGCTTCAAATGTCAGAGTTTAAACTAGTGCTGCCATCAGTGTTTTACCCAACATGGGAAAGGTAATGTACACCACCGTTAGCTTGGTATTTGTCTTTACTTTACACTCTCCAAGCTGGGACTGACCTCTTTGGCACTGACATTATAACATGTTATTAACACTATTTATAATGCATTATATTAACAATTCATAATGTATAATAAACATGGCTATAAAGTGTAATTCAGAGTAATTCTTTTTTATAAATATTTATAACCATGTTTATAATGCCTTATGAATACATTATAACATGTTATAACTGTGTTTATAGATGCTTACAAAGGTGACATTCATAGAAAGTGTTACTAGTGTTCTTTAAACTCAAAAGGCCTTTCTCTTTGTCATCATATTCCCGGTTAACACTTCTGGAGCTAACCTGCCCTGGCAGGCTCTAATCTATGCCTCTGTTTTTCCCCTATAAGAAATTAAACAGACCAGTGCAGTGGATCCTTCCTGTCACTACAAAGAGTAACAGTCTGACACTGAGCCCACGAAATGAGAAGCACCATACCTTTTTTTTTTAATACTGTGATGAGAAAAGCAAATGTAAACAATTTAATCCAAACGCTGCTCCTTGAGGGCTGAGGCTTGGTGCCAGGCAGCTGTGCTCTTTAGTGGTGGCAGAGCCCTGGATTTCTTAGCTTACAGTTTCCTCCCAATGCCAAACTCTTCAGCACACAACTTTAAATCACTGAGACACATCCTGAGGCCAGCAGCTGTGTTGACTGTACGGTGAATAATGTCAGGAAGGACAGCAGGCAGGACAGTTTACCTTATTCTAAATAAAACACTGTCTAGAAACTGGGCAGCAACAAGTCAACACTATGTAAACCCATGTACTTCTCAAGTACTCTAGTGCCCAGGTACTAGTGTATTAAAGGGCCCATATGGCATAAAACTGAATTTCCTTACTTTTATAAAGTAGTTTAATGTAGTATGTGCACATACCCAAGTTTCCCTCAGTCTATGCAGTCCATATGTGAACACTAAGGCCCAATCCCATTTCTCCCTTTGCCCTCTGTTTTGCGCGTTCATGCCTAGGGGTAGGTTGTCCCAATTTTTGTTGAGATAGAGGGGTAGGGTGAAGTGTTAGGGCTACATAGCCCTAATGAGAAAAAAAGAACCGGCAAGATGGCTGCGTGAGCGACCAAAGAAACCCACAAATGTAAGTATTTTCTCTGTTAGAAATTACGATAACCATTGTATTGTCTTAGTTTAATGTCGTTTCAATGTATTATGGTCCTTTTTTTCATAACCAGCTTAAAAAATGCTAATAGTCTGCTGATGTTTTAGTAGCTAGCTAGCTAAATTTCCCGTTCCACCTTAAATAGTCCAGCAGTTCTGAAGTCTGAAGTGCCAGAATGTAACCGCATCTCCATTTAAGGTGGAACGGGAAAAGCTGACTCCAGCTTCATGTTACCAAAGAATTAGGGGTGGACGATAATAAATAACTGTTGCATCCCCCTCTTTGAAAACATATGATGCCCTAAATCTAACCAAAGACCAGCAGTGAGGTTGCTGAACTCCTCTGTTATCACTGCAGACTGGCAGCATCGCCCACAGAGCACAGCTAGTAGCTGTTAATGAAGTAATGATCTTTTTATTTGAGGGTCCCATTTCATAGGGGAAGATTTCAACCACTACCAATTGTAACTCAGTTCCAAGGGGCAAGGTGACACATAAAAACAAAAAATAGGGGTAGGGGTGAAATTAAGAAATGGGATTGGGCCTAAAAAGCAAAAACAGTCTGCTTTGTATTCTCTGTTTTTGTGATGTCACAGAATACTTTAACATACATTACTGTTCAAAAGTTGCATTATACTTGCATTATAATTGGGCCACACTTTATTCTTATTGTCCCCCTATAGATGATTTGCAGATACATGATTAATTAACTAACATTCTGGAAATACTCAGCTGATTATTAACACCGTTAGGATGAGGGTCAGGTTTCGGAGTAGGTGTAGGTTTTGTGTTGGCATTAAGGTTGGGTTTTGGTCTGGGTTTAGGGTTAGAGTTAATAGAATCTATCACACTCAACCTCAAGTTCAGTTGCTTTTAATATACATTATCCTCCTGGGTCACGGGGGGTGCTGGAGCCTATCCCAGCAGTCAACGTGCAGAAGGCGCATTTAATATACATTTAGTTGAATGTTAGTGAAAGACAGACTAAACATCTACAAAGAATCTACAGTGGACTGTCTAAATTACCAATAACTGCTATTACTTTATTCAATTTTAACGTAAACAGTGTTCTAGTTTCTTGATAAGTTGTTTGCCTCGAGATTTGATTAGCATGTTTCAAATACAGGACATGTTTATTTGTGAGTATATATCCATATCCATGGCCTACTTTAGACTTTACAGAATGATTTCCTTCGGTTAGTAAATGAAGGGCATTGCTCAAGCTGTTCTTACTGCAGAGACTGGCATGAGTGAAAGTGAAAAATGAGTGTTAAAATGGCCTGTGAAACAATGTGGTATCTCACAAATAGGTCAGGGTGGCAAGGGGCAGGCAGCAGTGTGTATAGCCTAGAGACTATAACAGGCTGAGAATGTGTAATGTGAAGAGTGTTACTATGGTAATGCATCATTCACATGTTTTAAGTGTTTAGGCTTTTTTCAGTATTTCTCTTTGGGTCTGCATACGACAAAAACAAATTATTGCTGTCAGGACAAAACTTCATATCTCCATTTGCATTATTTATTATTTACATAATTTGAACATGCCAGTTGGCATTTACACCATGTAATAACTTCATGATGAAAAGACCTACAGAAGTGCTACAAAAATGCTTAAAATAAAATGTTTGTAATTTTACATTGCGCTTTTAAAATGATTTCAGAGTAATAAAGTGTCTAATCATGATTTTTGCTTTACTATTGAACAGGACTGTGCAATAAGCCTTGAGAGGCCTTGCTTTAGGGCGATTTTTATTACAGGCATTGCCCCGAGTGGCTTTATTTGAAGGGAAAAACACAATAATCGATCACAATAAACAATTCTTCCACCAAGAAATTTTGGAGCAGCGGTGCTCAAACGTCTTGTCTTGGGGACTCACAAGCAAAAAGACAAAAACAGTACGCAAGAACATAGATAGGTTTCAAACCAAATGTTTAAAACTGTATTTTATAACACTTTATTTTGTAACTAAATGCTTAAAAATCTATAATTCAATTTAAAAAGTTCTAAAAAAAGCTCAAAAAGTTAGATATAGTACAATGTAGTTAAAAAATATCTAGTGGTTATTCTCTCATTGGGTTTGGGGGTAGGGTTTCTGGTAGACCTAATCATACATCCTCATGGGCCAGCTTTGGCCTGCGGGCCACACTTTTGAACAGAGTATTGCTGCCAACCAACTATGGACTGTTGAAGGAGGGCAAGAACTTAGAGTCATCTCTTGCCTGACACAGAATATTAACACCTGACACAGAATATTAATGGAGGAGCCTGTTAGCTTTCTGCTGAGTTGATGAGCCTAGGTGTAGTTGTAAGGTAGAT